CCCCCTCCCCTGCCCCTCCTCTCCTCCTTCCCCTCCCTCTCCCCCACCCCCTTCTTCCTCCTTCTCTTCCTCCCCTCCTCTCCCTCCTCCTCCCACCCCACCTGTGTGCCACCCTCACTCTTTCAAGTCTACAGATGACACCTCCTCCAGCATGTCTCCTCTGCTCAGTGTTCTCAGTTTTTGTTCCTCCCCATCATACATGCAACACACATACACATACATGTGCACATGGTACATCAGCATACATAATACAGATACCACATACAACATATAGGCACAGTTATACCACATACGCAATACCAACACCATACACAATACATACCACAGGTCTATAATAAACATGTACAACATAAACAATACATATAACATATGCCACACGCAAAAGACTTGTACCACACAAAATACCATACCACAGACAACACATGAAACATATATGTACAATATATGTGAGAACATTCACAATAAACACAACACATATCAAGTACAATACATTCACCATATGAACACTCCATATACATGTGCAACACACACAGTACAACACATATACCACATACAATATATTCATGAAATAGGTGCACAGTATGTGCGCACAGTACACAACACACAATCCACATATTCTAAACACAGCATAGGCACACAAAACACACCCACGCAGTTTGGCCACTAGGCCTTTTGTGCCTATTTCCTCCTCAGCCTTTAGGTCTGAGTTTGAACACGACTTCTCCAGAGACTGCCCGATGCAGCCCCTGCGGGTCTGACTTCTCCCGCGCCGTCCCCTACCCCAAGCACACATGTTGCACTTTATACTCAGACACTGCTCCATGGCCGGACTTGGTTAACATCTTCACCTAGTCTTCACCCAGAGTGCAGGCCGGCCTTTTCTTGCCCTCCTTGGACAAGAAACACTGAGCACAACGCCTGCCACATAGTAGGACTTCAGGAAATCTCTGTGACTACATGAATGGAGGAGCATCTAGCCTAGAATTACACAGCAGCCTACTGTTTCTACTCCAGCCTTGTCCTGCTCACGGTGAGCAGAGTCCCAAGGGCTTATGCAGCCCATGAGCTTCACCCTCCAAATTGGCCGTTAGCGTGCGCCTTCTCAATGGGCGGCAGTTCCCATGACACTGCCCACAAGCACTGACTTGGTGCTCCGGCATCCACCCCTCAGAAGCTGAGCAGCCCCTGCCCCCGAGGCTGGGCCCTGCTCACTTTATCTCTGAGAGCCTAGTATTAGAACTAAACTAAACCAAGCAGCCACAAAGAAGATTTTCCCAAGACAGTTCTGTCTTTATTTTTTGGACTAACCTTGGGGGCGGCTGCTTGTGACACTTGTGCTTTGTCTCATGGTGATGTGCAAGTGTGCTTCGCATTTATGACGCTGCCCCCTCATTTGGTTGTGACAACTTGCTTTGATAATCAATAGTTTTTGTGCAGTGATGCACAGCCTAAAAAATCTTTTGCCTAAACAAAAACTTGCACAACCAATCATTCATTGTGTCGGAGAGCCCATTACATTTTGACAGAAGCTTTTCCTTTAGGATTTTAGAATTCTTTAGGAGCCCTTTCCCACATATTCTGTTTTCTGGAGTCTCCAGGGCTAGCCTACCTCAGACATCCATAGGCCGTGGACCAAAATTCTTCAGAATATGAATACCGAGGGCTGGCCAGATAGCTCAGCAGATTAAAGCACATGCTGAGGCAGAATGCAACGGCCAGGGTATGATGCCTGCCATGCTGGCCCCACCCCCGGTGCACTGAGCTGGCGATGGAGACGGGCATGGTGGTGTGCGTCGGTAATCCCAGCACTTGGGAGGCTAAGAACAGGAGGATCACTGCGAGTCTCATCTACATAGTGAGACTCCGTAGACCCTGTACTGAATACATTTTTTTAAAAAAGAATATGAGTGCCAGATCCATCCAGGGCCCAGGGCTTTTCTTAAATATGGGTATTTGAAAAAAATATCATGTAAAACTGAAAATAACTTCAAACATAAAATATTGAATAAGGTATAACTAAGTACTTTCTCATGCTTTGATGGGAAATTTTATTCTACATGGAAAACTTAAAGAGCCAATTGAAATACTACTAAGTGTATGATCTCATATTTACTGGAAATAAAATATCATGAACAATTATTTTTTTCTTTCTTTGACATTAATAATATTTACTCAGTGCTGACTACCTGCCATGCATTTCTCTGAATCTTATGCATGTGTTAACTCATGTAACTGCACAATAGCTCTTGGAGGATGACGTGATAATTATTTTCGTCGTACAGATGAAGAAAAAGCCTGGTAATCACTCCATGTCATACAGCTAGGAATGGCACAGGTGAGCTCTGCGCCCAGGACTTGTGAGCTTTGCTACTCCTGTGACCTCCTACTAATAGAAAAGCCAGGTGAATATGTTTTCGCTCCCAAATCCAGATAGAGAACAATTAAAATTTTGTCATGCATTCTATTATTCTGTGAAAGATAAGGCTAGATTTTTATTTCCCCTGGCTCCTAACCATTGCTAGTAAATAGTGCGGAATCCTGACAAAATTGAGGCAGGTAGGCCTGGATTTAAGCTGCAGTTCTACCACTTCCCAGATACGACCTCAGGAGACTGTCTTATCATTCTGATCCCATCTGCCTTTTGGTAAACAGAGAGCCTTGCTGCTGTTGTACGGAGAAAAGGAGGTAACCATCTATAAATTGACTGGCACGTAGGTGATCAATAGCTTTCTTTATTCCAAGTGTAAGAGGACACTAGGAAATTACGTTATTGTCATGAAAAGGAAGGTTCCATCAATAAATTATGAATTCAGTATTGTAGACCATATGCTCTTGGCCAAAAATAGTTACCGTTTTCCAGGAGTCACAGTCCTATGGAGGGTGGTGCTACGGATGAAAACACGGCATCTTCCCAACCAAATCACAGTTTGTCTGAGCAGATACGAAACACTACATCGAAAGGCTGGTGATCAAACTAAGCGTCAAATGAATGAACACAGCTTAGCCTGCTTGCAGAGAGGTAGATATTTAACTGGTCCCATCCCTCTACGGAGTTCTGCTTCCTGCGCCCTCACTGGAGCAGCCTGTATAGCTGCACGCACAGACCCACAGGTGCACCTTGTGTGTACAGATCTCCCTCTGCACCAGCTGCCAGGTAGTGCTTGTAGCTACAGGGAGCGTGGATTGAGGGGACCGGAGAGAAGCCTGGGGTGAGCGAGCCTCGGTCTAAGAGTCGCCATGCTGTTCACTGGCCTGCACTCAGCCGACGGGCAGTAGCCATGCTGTGTCATTGGACACCTCCCGTCACCAGTGACAAAGTGGCTCTTGGGATCTGACATTAAGCAGCCAGCTCAAAGACTGGTCACACAAGTGCGCGGTAGGAGCGGGGGTCCCAGACTCGACTTTAACAACCTGACAGACTCAGGCTGTTCATTGTCTGGGGCCGGAAGAATGAGAAGTAATGTAAGAGCCGCCTGAAGCACACCGACAGGGCTACAGGGCCCGTGGGAAGTCGCAAAGCAGGGACTACAGGCAGGATTCAAAAAGCAGTAATCGGCCGGGCGAGATAGCTCAGCGGACCAAGAGGCTGATTAGGCGAGGGCAGTGACAGGGGTTCCATTCTTTTAATGCGGAAAGCATACCCTAAGGACAAAGGCTGAGGGCCCAGACCACAGGGCTGCCCTGTGCGCGCGTGTACTGCTCTCTGCAGCAGTGAAGGGAGCATCGCGCACCGCAGAAGCCTGAGCTGCCGGAAGTGCAGCTGAAAGTAGTGGGAGGCAGAGCAAGAGCTCCAGATGTTTACCGTTAGGGTGACTGTAAACAGGCATCCCCCAGATCTGCCAAGCTCACTTTTCAAATTATTTTTATATCTAGTAAACAAACCCGTATCCTCTTCTCCTGGTTGCAGATAGACTGACTCTTTAGGGAATGATAACGCGCAAACTGCTCAACACAGTTTGCTGTTCTTTCTCCAGCAGTTGCATAACTCGCTCATTAATGTTCTCACAATTGGTAGTTTTGAAAATGGGGACTAAGTATAAACACCATCAAATGCAAATCTCTTCCAACCCTTTGTATGCACACCCGGCACTAGGGTTTTATTGTTTTCTGTTTTGCCATCTTTGGCGTCCTCATGCTCCTGTGGCCATAAACACTGTATCCCAAGGTTAAATGGCACCCCCCCCCCCTTATAGCTAGGGTGTGGACAGAAGGTAGCAGCCTTTGGGCAGCAAAGCAGTGAGTTACAGGGTTATCCAACTCCATGCTTGAGATCCTCACCCGTGCGTGCAGCGCCTGTGCCCCCACTGCCACTGCATCAGCAGCAGCCTGAAGTGCAGACGCCCTCAGCCATTCTCGATGCGCACTGAACACTCCTATGCCTGTGTCCACTGCACAGCTATGTCTCTTGGCTTTCCCCATTTAACAGCGCTCTGGCATGCACTATCCAGTGTACAGCAGGCTCCAAGGCTGCTTGACGGGCAGGCAGGCCCAGCGCCTGAGCCCTGCTGATCACTTTCCATTCTGCCTATGAAAACG